GTCCTTGAGATGAGAGACAAAAATAAGATGAAGCCTTCTGCTGAGACCAGGCCCAGCTCCTGGCCCGTGCTCAAGCTCGATTCATTGAAGTCAGTGAAGGAAATCAGGGCTGCATTAATCCTTCTGCTTCAATTAAAACAAGAACAATAAACACCGCAAGAGCCAGCAGAAGTTGGGCATGAATAGGGATTTAGGATTTGGCCTGAAATGCCGGAAAAGGTGTTGATTTTTTTCCCGTTTTGCTCCTCTGGGTGAACGTCCTTTTGATGTCATATGACAATGGGAGAGTATAATTTTTCCTGGTGGTCACCTCGCTGTGGGGAATACAGACATCATCCTCTGCTCCGTCTGTTCTCCCACCAGGAGCGGGAGAGAGGTGAGACATTCCTGGGACATTTATGAAAGGCAATTAAAGACGTGCCTGGGTTTGCATTGCAGCAGGAGCTGTGCTGCTGCCTCCCATCACGAACCAGCCTGCAGCTAAAAGGGGTCTTAACGCGCCCCCGGCGATGCTTTGCGCCTCCCTGGGAGCAGCCGTGCTGCAACGGTTAACAAACTCAACCCCCAAGAAGGTGAGGGACCGGTGGTTGGTCCTTTCCCTGCCAGCGGGACCCGCACCCGCTGACCCACCTGCCCGGGTGATGCCCACGAGGGTGGGGATGTTCAGGGTGGAAAGGTCCCTGGAGCCAAATTAATGCTGCGATTAATGAAGCTCCGATTCCCGGCTGCAAAACCAGCTGAGGTGTTTCTGCCCCCGCCGATCCCCACACAAACGTCTCCATCCCCTCGTTCCCATCTGCTCCGCTTCCCCACGCGTCCCGGCAGCCCACGGCTCCCCTTCCCCGCGCTCCGCCGGGGGCCGTGGACGGGGCCAAATGCGCCGGCACATCCATCGATCCAGGTGGCAAGCGGAGAACCTCAACTGACAAACACGAAGATTGGTCGCAATATTAAAATAAAGATTTTATTTTATTTTATTTTTTTTCCTTCTTATCCTTTGGCTTCTTTTAAAGGTTTCCCCCTCCAGAACTCTTAGAGGTAGCATTTTCAGTTTTACACCTCCTTTCCTGGAAAGAGAGCATCTATTTCGACAAACAGCAGCAGCAGTAATAGCCGGGTCTGTATAAAGTTTTCTCCCAAGACTCAGTCCTCCCGTGGATTCTCTGGTGTCTAATAAAAAGGGCATTTGCTGCCATGTGAAGCACGGGCGCAAGCTGGCCGTTCGGCTGCGGCAGGGGAGAGGGGGGGGGGCTGTCTGAGGGTCCTCTCTAGTCACAGAAAAGAGCAAAAATCGGAGCTTCCAGCAAGGTCTGGGCAGCGCGCACACCTCCTGCGACGGATCGCATCCAAGCAGGAAAACGCACTGTTGTTGATGCAATAAATCTTTTATTCTCTGTGGCTCGGAGGTATTTTAGATGGAATGGAGATACCTTAAAGATGTTTACACTTTCCTGAAAGCCAGGGAAGCAAAGATATCTGAGCCATCTAAGTCACTCGAGAAGCAAGCTGTTGTGCAAGCACGGTTCCCTTGCTTGCAAAATGTTCTTCAAAACCACATCACCAGCCCGTGTTCCGCCATCGGGGGGAAGCACGGTGTATCGGCTCTCCGCAGGCGCCAACACGCTCTTCGTGAGCGTTTGCGTCTGGTCCCAGGGGAGGGCTGATGATGCCCTTACACTCCGAGGGCCGCGGATTAAAAGGTAAAACGACACACTCTCCCACCTCGGACGGCTTTGCCACGGGGCTGCCACGTGCTCCCAAAGCCGCAGCACAGTCGGTGTGAGGTGTAAAGCCACGTTACCGTCAACGCCAGAGGCTCCAGGAACCCCTCCTGGAGTCGAGCAGAGCTTCAGCAACCCAGTACCAAGCTCTTCAGCTTGCTTGGTCTCACAGAATTCACAGACTTCACAGAATTCACAGAATTGTTAGGGTTGGAAGGGCCCTCTGGAGACCATCTAGTCCACCCCTCCTGCCAGAGCAGGGTCACCTACAGCAGGTTGCACAGGACAGCATCCAGGCGGGTTTTGAATGTCTCCAGAGGGGGAGACTCCACCACCTCTCTGGGCAGCCTGTTCCAGTGCTCCACTACCCTCAAAGTAAAGAAGTTCCTTCTCATGTTAAGATGGAACTTCCTATGTTCAAGTTTATGCCCATTACCCCTCGTCCTATCACTGGGCGCCACTGAAAAAAGACTGCTCCCATCCCCCTGGCATCCTCCCATTAAGTATTTGTATGTATTAATAAGATCCCCCCTCAATCTTCTTTTCTCTAGACTAAAGAGACCCAAGTCCCTCAGCCTTTCCTCATAAGAAAGGTGCTCCAGTCCCCTAATCATCTTTGTTGCCCTTTGCTGGACCACAGAATTCAAGTCTCCTCTTTCTCCAGTTCCCCGGCACGTGGCAGGACGCACGGCCACGGCTCTGCCCCTGACTCGCTGCCCGGTGTTACCGAAGTCGTGCCATGGACCCCCTCTCCGTAAAACCAGAAGGATTTCCACCACCGCGGTGCTGGAGGTCTCTGGGTGAAAGCTGCGGTGCGTTACTATTGCTGGAAAGAGCATCCCACAGCAATCATTCGCTTGGCCCCGCGGCGGAGACCCCGATAGCAGAGCTCCCTTTCAGCCAGAGGGTGCCACCCCCGTCCTTTCATCGCCGTGCGCCGTGGAAAGCCACCGTCCGTAGCGCGAACATCTCAAAACACGGCGTGAGCAAGAGCTGCAATGAAGGTGCGCGTTGCCAGACTGAAGTGAGGACCGTGAGGCCGTGTTAGATTCTTAAACTGCTCAGAGCTAATCCTGCTTGCTTCTCTTTCCTTTTAATTAGTCTTCGTTAAGCGCTGATACATCACAACTTGCTTGCCGCGAATAACCATTAATCAAGTAGGGTATCAGCTCCAGTTAATTGCCCGTATTCGTTCTCTGTCATTCCCCGCGCTAATAACAGCCTGCCTTCATAACCAGCCCCAGACATAACCAGCTCTTGAGGAACGCTAAGCTCGCCGATCTGCAGCAGGTAGGCAGGAGAAGAGCCTACAGACTGGATGCGACCACGTTTCCCGACTCATCAGCACCCCAAATATCTATAGCCTCCCAACCTGTTTCGTGAGATTGCCTTCATTGTTGGAAAACTGGAGGCTAGAGCGATGCCGTGATGGGCCACGGTCCCCGAGGAAGACCAAGAGAAGGATTTTCAAAGGAAAAGGTTGAATACAGGTCTTCCAGGCTCCAGATTCACCCACAGATGGGGGTGGTTCTCACCACAGTCTCTCCCTGGTTAAGAGCAATGTCCCCATAAGGGTTTTTTTGAGGGGAGGAGAGGAGAGGAGAGGAGAGGAG